TGTCCACACGGCAGCCGCCTCCTCCTGCCCAAGACGCGGTGCCTTCCAACCAGCTCCACCACGCCGTGCACCTCAAGGCCGCCGCCTTGGCCTCCGGAGAGGCCGCGGAGAAGCCACCGGGCGGCCGAGCGGCCCAGCCCGGCCCCGAGGGGCTCCCCGGGGACGGGCAGCTGTCCCCCAGGAACAAATCGCCGGCCTCCACCGCCAGCTTCATCTTCGCCAAGAGCTCCAGGAAGCTGGTGATCGAAACCACGTCGTCCCCCGAGGCACAGGCCGACCTGAAGAGGAACTTGGTGGCCGAGCTGATGAATTTCTCGGGGCAGCGCTCGGCAGCCCCAGCTGCTGCTGTCCCGCAGGGCCCCGGAAAGGCACAAGCCCAGCGAAAACCTGGCAAGATCCCCCCTCCAGTAGCCAAGAAACCTTCGCTTGGCTCGGGGCCGGCTCCTTCCCCGAAGGCAGCGGGGGCAGAGGCGTTGGGCTCCCCGGTGCTGGACGGGGATGCCAAGGTGGAGGAGAGCAGGACTAAGAGCGAGCTGGCGGGGACAGAGGGCAGCAACACCACGGAGCCGCCGGCTCACAGCCTCCCTGCACAAGGTACGTGGGGTGGGAGCCACGGGATGATGCTGCTGGAGGTTCAGCCTCTCTGCTCAGCATCCCGAGCTAGACATTCCCAAGCGATAAATTCCCAAGTTACAAACACCCAGCACGGCTCCTGGGCTGTTACAGCAGGGAGGCACTAGGATTTGATTTTATTTAAAGCTCCAGCAGCTCGAGGAGCAGCTTTGATCATGTCCTGAGTGGTTTTCATTGTTTCAGCTGAAACTGTGATCACTGAAGATGGGCAAGGAATGTTTTTTTCCCCATTTCAGGAGCCCTTGGATGGGTTTAGGTTTTGTTTTGTCATGTGTCTACAAATTTCTGGCTAACTTTAGGCCAGGGGAAAGGTTTTGTTAGAGTTTCTTTCCTGTATTTTTGCACGTTTTACAGCTAGCTTGCAGTTCAGAATAAAGTCATAAGTGAATCCAAAAAAAATTATATTAACCTTCACAAGCGTTTTTAAGCAATGCATAAATGGAAACAAAAGCAAACAAAAAAAAACCCAAACCCAAAACAACAAACAATCAATCAAGATGCTCAGCAAAAACAGACTTTACCACAAAATGTTTGATAAACTGATGTACTTGGATGAAAAGGAATAAGAGCAGGGAGAGAGGCTGGTGGGGCTGGGGGAAGCTGGGATTCAGGGTGGCTGACGGGCTCTTCCCTCCTGCCTTGCAGACGGACGGGGAGACACGGCCTGAAGGACGATGCTGCAGGACTGGAGCCCCCACGGACAGGAATCCAAATCTCTCAGGGACCTGGGCAGGTCAACGGACGAGTGTGGAACTGGCAACTAACTTAATACAGGAAGCAAACAGCCTTAGCCTCCACGGCCTTGATGATATTTATGCAAAAATGGTGTTGGTTTCACTTTCCTAAGTACTACAGCTTTATTTTGCTTTTTTTTTTACTGGACTCAAGGCCTGTGCCCAGAGCCAGCACCTCCTCCCTGCCAAGCTGATGCTTGGTCTGGGTGTGTGGAACCGAGCAGCCCACCCAGAGGAGTTTGGGGGCCAAGGACAGCGGAGCTGGGGCCACTGCTGCCGGCCAGACAGGCCCACGAGGAATGGAAGCACTTTGGACAAGGGAATGAGAAGGCTTTGGCCACGACAGTGCCTGGGGGGATGCAAACAGGAACAGGAGTGGATGGAGGTGCTGGTTGGGAGGGACTGGGGCTTTGGCTCTTGATGGAAAGGCAAGAGGGGCTCGTGGTCAGCACTGGCCGCTTGCCACTTGCCACTGCCCAGCAGGAGGAAGGACCTGGCTGCCCCTTGAGCTGGCCCTGGGCTCTGGGGTAGAGCCTTGATTCTGTTTCTGTAAACTTGGGTCACATTTTGATTTCTTTGATTGTAAAAAAAAAAACCAACAAAAACCACAAAACGAAAACCAAACGAAACAAACCCAACCAAACCAAACCAAACCGAACCAAACCAAAAACAACCGACCTTCTGCCGCCGAGTAGCTGCTCAGAGCTCTGTACCTGGCTGGTAAAAATGATGACCGAAGCTTGCTGCCTCCTGTTCTTCCTGGTTGATGGTTGCAGGTCCCTTCTGGGTGGTGCTGAGCTCCAGGGACACCCTTTGGCTGGCTCCCAGCAGCACTGCCCAGTAAAACTCCGGGGCAGGGCTGGCTGCCAGCTCCCCTGGACAGATGGGCACAGCCACGTGCAGTCAGCTCGACATTTTATTGGGTTTATGACAGACAGATGGTTCCCGAGTCAGTGTTTAAGGCCCACAGCCCCCATGGGCTCAGGACAGCCCCACAGGTGCTGCCTGGGCTCCTGGCACCAGTGGCCACAGCGCTGGGGGTGGAGCAGGGGACGGGCTGTCCCCAGCTCTGGTAGCAGCAACACAAGGTTGGAGAAGCAGCTTTTCCCTTCTACCCTCCTCACCACAGCACCCACACATGCCACCCCAGCAGGCACCATGGCACAGCTGGGAGCCAGCTGTGGCCCCAGGCTATGGGCATGAGTCACAGGGGTCCCTCGGGCGTGGTGGCACCTCCAGTCCCCAGCGCTGGCACAGCCCAGGCCCAGGGGGATGCTGGAGGCAGCTCCCCGGGTGAGAGTTCAGTCCCTGAGCCCCCAGGGCCAAGCCCCTGACTCGGGGCACTGGTGGGAGATGACTGAAGGAGCCTGGCTGAGGTGCAGGAGTCAGGCAGGAGGCACCAGAGCAGCCCTGGCACTTGTTAGCTGATGCTGCCACCCTTCAGGCTTTTACAGGAGACTGTCCCCAGCTTGGTCAGGAAGTTTCTCTGCTTCCACTGCGCGACACAATCCTCGGAGATGCGGAAATCGGCCTGGGGGGCAGAACAGGGAGTCAGGCTCAGCCCTGGGAAGGTTCATCTCCTCCTTTGCTGCCAGTAACACCAAGGGGCCCAACAACCCATTTGAGGTCACCCAGAGGTGGAGATGGTGTGGCCCTGCTGGATGGAACTCCAGCCACTCCCAGTCCTCACCTGCAGCTTCTCAAAGACCTTTTTCTTGGGCTTGAGCTCCTCGTCGGGCTCCCCACCCTCGTAGCCCTCCACGTAGACGCGCTCCCCGGCGCAGCACCCGGCTGGGGGGTCCAGGGGCTCCACTTGACGGGGTTCCCCCACGCTATGGAGGGGAGTGGAGACACCAGAGTCACCCCAGAGTGCTGCTCAGCTGCCCCTCACCACCCTGAGGGAGGCTCCAGCCCCAGGGTCCCCTCTGTCCCTCACCTGGAAGCACACAGCACCATGCCCTGTGACTCCACCCCTCTCATCTTCTGGGGTTTGAGGTTGCAGAGCAGCACCACAAGCCTGTCCTGGAGCTGCTCCTTGGGGACAAAGTGCACCAGGCCGCTGACCACGGTGCGGGGCTCGGCCTCGCCCACGTCGATCTTCTCCACGTACAGGCTGTCGGCATCCGGGTGCTGCCGGGGGTGCAGGGATGGCAATGGGGTGGCAGAGAAGGTGGCATTCCCCCCCCAGGCACACCCCAAATGTCACCACGTGGGAAGGTTTCCTCCCCTCTCCCCATACCTTTTCCACACTGATCACTTTGCCGACACGGATGTCCAGCCGGGATGGGACCACGTCCTCCGGCTCTGAGTTCTTGGTGCCCTTCTCTCCAGGCTCTGCAGGGTGAACAGAACGGTCACAACACTCAGCACAAACTCAGGGAGGTGGTCAGCCCCAAATGCAGGCCCTGGGGGAATTCCTTGCAAGGAATTTCCATGCCTGTCACTACAGAGACAGAGAACAGAGAGCAGAGTCCCTCCTGTGCTGGCTTTCCTCATCTTTCCCAATATTCTCCAAGGATGTTTTTGAGTCTGGAGCTTCTCTGACCTCAGGTCCTGGGGGGACTCTGTCCCACTCAACCCTGCAAGGCTGGGCCCCATTTCCCTGAGCTCCCAAGCTCCCACTTCCCTGGGCCCCTCCTTACTGGCTTTGGATGGGGTGGGATACGCAGCGCTGCTCAGCTTCTTCAGCTCTGGGCAGTTGAATTTCTCTCTGATGGGGTCAAGCAGTTTGTTCAGGGCTACTTCCACCGAGTTCTTCAGGTCTCCAGGGTGCACAACCTGTGTCAGGACAAAGATGTTCCTGTCTGAGGTCATGGGTGGGAACTGGAGACCAACAAGGTGGCAACATGAATCCCAAACCCTTGACCTGATTCCCCTTGGACATCAGAAGTTTCTGGACACTTGTGCCTCCAGCCTCTGCTGGGAACAGCTGGGAAGGGTTAAACTGCTGCTCTGCCCCAGGATGTGGCTGACGTGGTGCTGTCCTGACCTCACACCCTTCACTCATCCTCTCTCCCCTGGGTTCTCCTGCCTAGGAGCATCCCACATCACAGGCCATGCCCCACACCTCTTCCCAGTGCAGATCTCCATCTCCCAGAGCTCCCAAACTGCTCACAGGAACCTCAGGCAGAAGGTTCAGCCTCTCCCAGCACTCACCTGCTCAGCAAAGTCCTTCTCCAGGGCCTCGTAGGCTGTGTAGGTTTTGTTTCCTCCCCATTTTTCCTCTCGCAGGACCACAAACTCTAGGACAAAGCAGGTTTTAAAGCTCAGATTAACTCAAGGCTCAGGTGAACCACCCACCCCACTCTGCCCAAGAGCAGAGGCTGAGCAGGTGGCACTCAGGAGAACCCTTGTTCCAGGGGACACACTCCTGTTCCCCACCCCTGAGCACAGCAAGCCTCTCACCTGACTTGAGAGGGAAGAGGACGTGCTTGATGAAGGAGAGGACACCGTTGTTCTCCACGTTCCCTGGCTCACAGAAAGCCTTCTTCAGCTTCTTCTTCACGTCCTCCTTGCGGTCCAGAAGATCAATCTTGGAGTCCTGCAGCAAGAGATTTCCTCAGCCCTTCACACCCAAGCTTTTGCCCAGAAAACTCATGCTGGAGTGCTGCACCTTCTTAGAACCCTGTGTGAGTGGGGAGGGAGAGCTCACCTTCCCTGGGGTGGTTCCCTCTCAGCCCCCAGCCACCAACCTGTCCCCCCAGAGCCCCCTGAGCACAGCCAGACCCACACCAACCTCTTCTGATGAGCTCATTTTGCTGCCTGTCAGTCCAGGAACCATGGGGTTCATCAAATGAACGCGCTTGGCATAGCCCAGGGAAGGGAGGTACTGGGAAAACACAAGGAGGCAAGTCAGAGACAAACCTCATTCAGCTTTAATTCACAGTCCCTGTTTGCTCCTGGCTCCGAGTAACTTTGGGATCTGGAATGACAGGATTCAGGAAGGGCAGTCACAGCCAGGGATGTGTGGCTGCACAGAGCATGGGAGCAGCAGCAGCACAGAGAGCTGTCATGCCAACCAAAATCCCACACACTTCTCCCAATGGATTTGGGAGTTGCCAAGCCCTCCCTCAGGCCCCAGTCTGGCAGAAATGCCCCAGTTCCTGACCTTCTCTGCGAAGGTGAAGATCTTCCTCTGATCCACCCCTCCAAACTGTGCGTCCACCTTGAGATATTCCTCATCCAGTGCCTGTGGAGAGACACAGAGCCTTGAGGCCAGACCCAAAACAGTCCTGGCCTGTCCCTCTGCCTCTCCTGGGGCACTCCCAGCCAGGGGAGGACGGGAACATTCCAGACTGTTTGCTGGAACAGCAGCTCTGTGCTCAGGCCAGGCTTTGTGCCACCGCCAGGTGTGACATTGGGGTGGACAACAATGACCTTGCCACTCAGCCCCAAACACCCCAGCTGCCAGCACCTCCCTGGACACCACACCTGCCTCACCTGCAGGCCTGGGTAGAGCAAACCACTCAGCAAGGGATGTTCCACCTGCTTCACCACCTCTGCCCCTGCCTTCTTGGCGTCGTGCTGTGTCACCACGGAGGAGAGCCGGTACACGTCCAGCGTGTACTCCCTGTGGGAGGGACAGCACCGTCACCACTGGCCACGGGGACACCTCTGAGAGCTGCTCCTGGCCACACTGAGAGGGGACAAAGCCTGGAGGCACCTCCTGGAGTGACAGCTCAGGATCAGCAGTCCCAGGACTCACTTGCTGAGCTGGTAATCGGTGCCCCGGACAAATCTGAGCTTTTCCAGGGGCACCCCGATGCTCTCCAGCATGGCTTTGATGACATGCTCGTAGTAACGGGTGCGCAGCTCCAGCAGCTCCCAGGGAGCCTTCATGTTGTCCAGGTAAGCGTGGAGGTCGGCAAAGAGGATTGTCACCTAGGACAGGGGACAGGCGGTGTCACCTCGGTGAGGGGAACTGCCCCTGCTGACTGCAGCTGCCACCCAGCACGGTGACAATGCCCCACCTCACAGCCAGCCCTCAGGAAATCCGCGATCTTGGACATGGGCACGAAATACGCCACGTGAGGCTTGCCCGTGGTGGCGGTCCCCCAGTAAATCTTCAGCTCTCGCTCCTTCAGGATGGCCATGAGCTTGTCCTCGCCCAGCACCTCCTGTCAGGGGCCAAAACACATGGCACTGACAGGGCTGGGCAGGACAAATCCCGCTGGGTGTCCGGGCTTCACACACGGTGTGTCCCGGTGATAATCCCCGGAGCTTGCTCTGCCTCAGAGCTCCCCATCCCGGCCTTCCCATGCCCTGATCCTGCCCCGTTCCCCCCTCTCGGACCCCAATCCTGCCGTGTCCCCTCGATCCAGCCCCGACTCCCCCGGTATCTGGACCCCATCCTGCTCCAATCTAACCTCAATCAACCCGCCCAGCCTCAATTCCTCCGCCCGACCCCGATCCAGCCCCGCTGGTCCCTGAGATCCAGCCCAGATGTCCCCTCTCGTCCCCCCCGGCCCGGCCCCATCCGCCTCCCGGTACCTGCAGGTTCCGCGTGATGAGCTGATACTTCTCCTGCGGGCCGGGCGCAGGCTCCATAGCGGCGGCTGCAAGGCAGGACACGCCGTTAGCGGAGCCCCGGTACCCCCC